CTCCCCCCCAGCCACGCTCCAGTCCCTCTTCAAGCAGTCGACAGAGGAGGAGCTGCAGGAGATGGTGGTGGTGGTGCACCTGGCCGACGCAGACCCTGAATGGAACGTGCACGTGGCTGCCGACATCGCCCGCAAGTTTGCTCACCACATCCTCCTCGGCCGGCTCCTGCTTATCCACGCTCCCCATGAATTTTACCCTACCCTCGAGGGCCTCAAGAGAAACTACAACGACCCGGAGGAGCGGGTGAGGTTCAGGTCCAAGCAGAACGTGGACTACGCCTTCCTCTTCGCCTTCGCTGCCAACCTCTCCTCCTACTACCTGATGATCGAGGACGACGTGTGGTGTGCGAAGTCCTTCTTGACGGCCATCCGCAAGGCGCTGGCTTCCCGGGAAGGCTCCAACTGGGCCACCCTTGAATTCTCCAAGCTGGGCTACATCGGTAAGCTCTACCGCTCCAGTGACCTTCCTCGCCTGGCTCGCTTCCTCCTCCTCTTCTACCAGGAGATGCCCTGCGACTGGCTGCTGGTCCACTTCCGCCTCCTGCTCACCCAGAAGGACGTCATCCGCTTCAAACCCTCCCTCTTCCAGCACATGGGCCTCTACTCCTCCTTCCAGGGCACCATCAACCGGCTGGAGGACGACGAGTTCCAGGCTGATGCCTTGGACCTTCCCGACAACCCACCGGCGGCCTTGTTCACCAGCATGGCCGTCTTCGAGAACTACGAGCCCCTCAAGGCTTACAGCACAGCAGAGGGGTATTTCTGGGGGAAGGACCCAGCAGCCGGCAGCGTCTTCTCCACCGGCCTACACCCCCGTGGGCCCCTTCGAGAAGGGGTCCTTCGAGCGGCGGGGGCTGGAGAGGGGCGTGCCGGGCCCCGTGGAGTGCGTGAGGATCCGGGTAACGCAGGACCAAAGCGAGTGGCTCATCATCCAGAGCATCGACATCTGGACCACGGCGGGCACCTGAGCACGGCCGTGGCAGGTCACCAAAGCGGCTGCATTTTGTACGAAGAGGTCTTTTATTTTTCTCCCTCCCTTTTCTGAGAAGGAATTAAATTATTGCCTCCCGCGGGCGGTGCCGCCTGTCTCCGGAGGGATGCCAGGCGCTGCGGTGGGATGGGATGGGGCCGGGAGCGGGGCCCACCACGCCGTGCCGGCCTGGGGGATGCCCTGAAGAGCGAGTGTGGGGAGGAGCAGAGGCCTGGGGGCTTCAGCCTGGGACGTAGAAAACATTCCCTCACAGGGAGGATGGTGTACAGCACAAAGCTAAGCAGCTAATTAACAAACAAAATAATTAACCCGGCAGTGGCACTTTTTGCAGCCTCTCCACACCATCCCACCTGGACGAGGTCCTGTGCAGCCTGCTGTAGGTGACCCTGCTTCGGCAGGAGGGTTGGACTAGATGACCCACAGAGGTCCCTTCCAACCCCTACCATTCTGTGATTCTGTGGTCCCTTCCCTCCCTGAGCTTTCTAACCCACCGACTCCCCGTTTCTAACCTGCAGTTTTTTCCCTCTCCTATTTTCAAGCTGCTCCTGGGAAGGGCCAGGGGAGGGTAGGGGGGTGCTGCCCACCAAACCCCTTGCCCTCCAGCATCAGGGACGCAGGGGAGCAGGACGCCCACCCCGCTGGTGCTCACCGATGTCTCGGTGCCGGTCAGAGGGGCACGGCCACCAGATGGGCCTGTCGCACCGGCTCAGTCCCGCACAGCCCCTCTCCTCCCTCCACCGCTCCTGCTCAGGCTCCTGCTCAGACCCCGCAGACTTTCCTCCTCGGAGAGGCTGCGCATCCCAGGGAGCACACCGTGTCCGTGAGGGATCCACACCGAGAGGGATGGACAGGGAAGAGGAGGCTTCTCAAAGGGGGAGAAAGGTCCAAGGATTGAGCACCACGGAACAAGGGTGGGTGAAGGAAACCTTGGCATAACGTGAAGCTCTGGGTGCGCTTTAGCCCAGCGAGGTGCTGCAGGGTGACCGGGGTACACGCAGGCGGCAGGCACGAAGCCCCCAAAAAGCTTCCGTTTGGATTTGTCTGGCAGGATCAGCTTGGAGGGCTGGATCCTGCCGGGCAGCTCGACCCAAAGCTGTTGGCACCAGCACAAATGGCGGTGGCCGGTGCCTCTCCTCGTTAGGCTTTTGGCAATAATTGCTCAGCTTTCAGCAAACAAGGAGGGTTCTGATCTGCTCGGCCTTCCTGCGAGACAGCTCGGGGCGCTTTGTCGCTAGCTTGTGCCGCACGGGACTGCTCTGGTTTGCCGGTGTTTGAAGTCCGGCTCTCCTGGAACAAGACCATCGCCCTCCGAGCACAGAGAGGCACGAACCGGTGCCGGGGACCCACCTGCAGTGCCGAAACACCCGAGTGCCGTAACCACAGCTCGGCCTCGAGGTCTTGCATCAAGTTGCCCGCTGGGCACTGGAAGAGCAGCCGCTCAGCGCGGGGAGCCCCAGACCGGGCGTGATGGGACTTTTCCCTGAAAAAAAGCCAGGCACGTAACAGATCTTTGTCTGCGTTTAATACAGAGATGCTACACGATAAACTCCAGCACCTTCCTGACATTCTCAGTGTTCTCAGTGGGATCACGATACACATTGCAGAATCACTTCAGTTTCCTCCGCGCGGCCCAAGCGCAGCCAGAGCTCTTGGCGTGTTCTGAGCAGCACAGGTGTCCCCTCTCCAGGGCCCCAAGACCCAGGCAAGTGTTTACGCTGCTCCAGCAGAGCCTTTGCCCTGGCTCTCTTGGACACAAATGCCCCCGACCGCCCTGTGAGAGCATCAAGGGTTACCAGCGTGGGTACAGACAGAAAGCTTTCTCCCCAGTATGTTTTTATCTGCTGCTAAAACAGGAAAAGATGTAACTATAACTCAACATTTTGCCTGTTGGTCTCTCACTTGTGAATGTACTAATCAGTTCTGTGGTATTCACCTATACAGACACGAGCTGCAATCTCAGTTATGCTGGTGTAAACCTGGGCAGACTCCACTGAAGAGAGTGGAAATCCATTCCGTCTACACCAGGGTAAGCGCAAGGAGCAGCTGACCGCCGGCACGGAACCGCCTCCTCCTTCTTCCAGCGCAACGCACTTGTCTCAGCACCACGATGCCCAGTTAACATTGGTGCAAACTGGAGGAGGAGGAGGCTTCTTCGTCCTGGAGGAGTGCCACATAATTTATCCCACATAAAAACTATCCCATTATTTTTATCCCAAGATGACCCAGCCAGCGTCCCCCACTCCATACCGAGAGCCCCGTCTCTGATGCGGGGGTGGGGGGCTGATGGAGACTTCGCTCCCAACAAGTGGTGCTGGTGGGGTCCAGCCCAGCCCAGCGCGCTGGAGCTGCGGCCCCGGCTCCCGTCAGCCCGTGAAGCGGGGCGGCAGCGCTGGGCACCACCAACCATTCACATGCAGCCACGGGGCTAAAGATCAGCACAGATCTCAGCCGGGCAAGGGTTAAAGAGCCTCTGGGCTGAGAGGTAACGGGCAAGGGGACAAAACCAGAGGCAAACATTGTGGTCTGCTTCTCTCTATGCAGACGGTGAATCAGAGAGGGTTAGAGCTTTCAGTCAAACACCACGGATGTCCTGAAGGATGACTTGCTGTCCAACTCGACCAGCGGAGCTACCCTGTCTCTTGGGAAGTGGTGCCGCACGGCTCAAAGATCTAGCTCAGCATCTTGTGGCGGTCGAAAACCGTCTTCCTCTGCTCCTGCACCTGGCGCTTCCAGCGCTGCTGGGCCCCCTCCACCCTCTCCAGCACCGTGTTGGCTCTAGCGCCGGACGGGGTGGGGGCTGCGGCCAAGGAGCGAGCATCCTGCAAGGGAAAGGAACGGTGAAAAAGATCAAGACGTGCTCAGCCCGGACATGGAAGGTGGCAGCTCGACTGTGGGAGAAATTTCAACTGAAAGAGCAATTCACGGCTTGAGTGGTCCTGATGAAGAACCTCATTTTCAGAACCTCATCAACAGCAGCCCCCCAACTCCAGCTGGAAAGTTTGCGCTTGGGGACCACCCGTGGTGAAGTCAAATGCCCCAAATAAAAAGTCCCCAGGAGAGGAACTGCACTAAGTCTAAACCTCTGCTGGAAATCCACTGCTAGGAGCCCGCAAGGAGCCGCGCTGCTCAAGCAAACTGCATCACCCCACGGAAACCGGGCCAACGGTTTCCGTTGTCCTCGCACATTGCCTTACACAGTAGCTGCTCCTCTGTTTCTCGGATGGTGCTGCAGGACTTGTGGCCAGCTCTGCTGTTCAGACTGCTCCAGCCAACCACATTTACACTGCCATAATGTCTGAGGGCCCTTGCATGGGGACCCATCGTGGCACACACACCCCAAGGCAGTCACAAAGCCTATCCCAAAGAGTTTACACCCCAGCACACTGGAGTAAGACAAAATCACAGAAACACAGAATGAAAGGTTGGAAAAGACCTCTAAGATCATCAAGTCCAACCACCCACCCAACACCACCATGGCTGCTAAACCATGTCCTGAAGTGCCACATCTACACGTTATTTAAAAACCTCCAGGGACGGTGACTCCACCACCTCCCTGGGCAGCCTGGTCCAATGCCTGACCACTCTTTCAGGAAAGAAATTTTTCCTAATATCTAATCTAAACCTCCCCTGACACAAACTGAAGCCATTTCCTCTCGTCCTAGCGCTGGTTAGCTGGGAGAAAAGACCAACAACTGCCTCACTACACCCTCCTTTCAGGCAGTTGTAGAGAGCAATAAGCTCCCCCCTCAGCCTCCTCTTCTCCAGACTGAACAACCCCAGTTCCTTCAGTCGGCTCATCGTTAGACTTGTTCTCCAGACCCCTCCGCAGCCTCGCTGCCCTTCTCTGGACATGCTCCAGCACCTCAGTGTCCTTGTAGTGAGGGGCCCAAAACTGAACACAGCACTTGAGGTGTGGCCTCACCAGTGCCGCGTACAGGAGCAAACCTCGCCCAATTTCAGCATTTACAGCGTGCACCTAGATCTAAGTCTGAATGATCGCTGGGGAGCAGTGGAGCAAACGCATACCTTTAGAACACAATTCATCTCCTGCAGGACCTCCTTTTCTCAGCAGAGTGAGGTAATGGATAGACTGTGCACGTCACAGCAGCTACTCCTCACTTGCATCAGCGTATGAAAGAATTGGGCCAAACAGTTTACACTTACAAAAAAGTATGAACAGGACAGACTGATCCAGTGGTTTTCTCGGAGACTCGGGAAGAAGAGCATCTTCAAACACTCTTCTCAGACTGTGACTGAGCAAACCACTCGCACCCAGAGTCACCAGTTGCTAGGGAAGGCCTCCTCACCAGTCGCCTCCCAGCAGCCGGGGCAATGCTCGAGCACAGCCCTGAGGCTCCACCAAGGGAAGGGCCTCAGCTCCAGGAGAGAGCTCTGCCCAGCACTGCGCCCCGCTAAACTGCACACGTCTGCATGGAGAAAACCAGAGGGAAAGCTGTGTCGCAGAGCCACACGCCGCACTAACAGGCAGCAAGTCTTGGACAGCCCTGGCATCCCGCAGACAGAGCACGGGCTACAGCTGCAATCAAGCATGAGAGCTAATCACTGCGCGTGCAGGCACTGCACTCCTCCACAGCAGCCATCAGCTCCGCCTCCAACACTTCCTCTCGTGAGAGACCATCCCACCTCAGCCTCCTGTACTTCCCTACGGGAGAAGGGAAGCCTCAGGGAAAGATGAGCAGATTTACAAGTCAGAGTGCTCTTGTTCTGAAATCCCCCTTGGAATCAGGCCCGATCACTCCCCCTGAAGCACCACCTCTCTCGCAAGGGGAAGGACGCTGTAATTGCACGAATTTCTTGCAGCATGAAATTTGTCCTTCCCCAAAATGTCTCTGTGTGTGAGAAAGAGAGAGGGAGACTCTCTCTTTCCTACTGGATCCTAATTTTCTTGTCCAAGATGTTGTATGCCATGTCCCCCAAAAAGACGGGATCCGAGTGAAATTCTGCACTGGGGAGAAGCACAAGGAACACTGGCCCAGGCTGCCCAGGGAGGTTGTGGAGTCTCCTTCTCTGGAGATATTCAAGACCCGCCTGGACAAGGTCCTGTGCAGCCTGCTGTAGGTGACCCTGCTTCAGCAGGCGGGGTGGACTAGATGACCCACAGAGGTCCCTTCCAACCCCTACTATTCTGTGATTCTGTGATTCTGTGAACAAGAGCCTGGATACAACAGGGACCAGCCCCAGAGCAGGGTCAAACAACAGCCACAGCAGCTCAGAGGCTGCTCTTTTAAGCGTCTAGAAGACAAGCCAGCCCCATGTTTCAGCAAATAACTAAACCCCATCCTTTCCTGGAAGCTCACCACCAAGTGACTACACCTAGGACACTGCACAAACAGGAATCGTTTGACTTTTGCTTTCATCTAGACAGACATATACCAAACTCGGGCCACTTGCGAAAAAGCCACCCCCTGGCCCACACGACCGCTCCCATCTTGCACTCAAAAGACAGAACTTCTACTTTGATTTCCTTGTGCTTCAGCATGATCTGCACAGATGTGAGTCTAAATGTTTACCTGTGGTAAGCACCCAAAAAGCAACAGCACTGGTCCCACACTGGATCACAGGGGACAAGCACGAGGTCACTCTGTTCCCTGTCAGCCATTCTCTTGTCACCCTACCACCGTGATGGCAGCCACCCACTTGCACCCTGCACGCCCCAGCAGCACAGCCTCACCTCATTCTCCTCCTCATTGTGCAGGGGCTGGGTATAAGCATCTGGCTTCCGGATCAGAGGGTCCACCAGCACGAGGAAAGCCATGTAAAGCAGCAGTGCCCCCACCACGGACAAGTAAATGATGATGATCACCTGCAGTTAAGGACAGCACAGTGGAAAAGGATCAGCAGTATAGATAAGAAGCACCACAGAGGCCAGGAGGCTCCCTTCATTGCGGCCTCTGATGATTAATCTCTTCCCTCATTCTAATTTTGCTCACTATGAAGTCTCTTGCACTTGCAGGAAGGCTGATGAGACGTAAGTGCCATCACTGCATAAACTGTGCTGATCTTCTCCGCACTGTGCCAATATAGGGCACGTGCTGCATGTGAAAGGAGACCAACAAGATGGGTCCCCAGTCAGAGGTGCTTGGCACCGTCATACATGCTCAGCAAGAAGACTGGGCTCCTGTGCAGCCTTCTCCTCACTGCCAGGAGCCCTCCTGACTCAGACACAGTGCCACTGGCACTACCACCATGTACTAGCTATGATAGTCTTATTTTCCCTTTCCGGGCTCTTCTCCAGGAGCCCACCAGTCTCGCAGTGCCTGGGATGGTGTGGCAAGGAGAAGGCACCAGTCACAGGGAGCAGAACCGGTCCTACCTTGATGGTGGTGGTGCTGCGCTCCTCGTACTTGCATTCACACAGCAGGCAGTAGGCCTCCACGTCATTCCCTGGCACCGGCATCGGCTCCACAACATGCAGGCAGTTGCTGCAACACAAAGAAACCAACATCAGCAACAGGACAAGGTGAAACTCTGTGGAAGGACACTGGGGTGACTTTTTGTGTGCCGTAGCTTTCCCGTGAGGCTGGTAATGCTGATCCAGTTTTAAGAGTTCCCCTCACAGCTCAGCTAGCCCAAAGTTGCTGGGACGGAGTGTCCAAGCGCCTTCTGCAGGGATCCAGTCTAGGTGAAGGGGACTGGAGCGTACACCCTACATCTGCTGTGAGCTGTGGCTCAAGAAATCATGCCTTCCCAATTCCTCAGTCTCTGTTCAAAGAATGTCCCTCGCCTGGGCTGAACATCACCTACCAAAATGACTTCCTCTGCAAACGCACACGCAGGGAATTACTTCCTTAGCACCAGCTGGCCACTCCGGAGCGTTGGCTTTCACGGACCGACCCCTCAGGCTTCAACCCACAACTCACCAGTCCTTCTGCGACACATTCTTGTTGTAAATGTGCCCACTGATGTTCCGGTACGGGGGACAGATGCACTTGCAGCGGATGTCCTCCGAGCTCTGCAGAAGGAAGAGGAGACGGCATTAGCCAGTGAACATGTGCGTACAGTTCTGCTGCCCTCCCCACCCGGGGGCGTGGGAAAAGGCAAAAGGTACGGTAAGAGAGAAACAACTTCACACCATGTCTCTTCTTCCTGCGCTGCTTCTTTCACATCAATAACTTCGCAGTTTTAAAATGTCTTGAGCACCTCTGCTCCAGACCCCAGGCAGTTTTCAAACAAATTTTAAAATGCAAGCTCCAAAACACAGCAGCAGGCAGGGCAGAGGCCACTGTCACGTACATTCACAGCTCCACAAATGATAAATACACATCTGCTACAGCACTCCTTACTTCGCAAAATTCCATGGAAAAACAGTTGCTTCTCTGCCATTACCGTTTCTGTTGTACCACACACATGGTTTAGTGCTTGCGTCTGAATCCGTTCACTCACCTTGTCGGCTTGTGCTAGAGGAGCAAGGATGCAGCACAGCAGCACGATCAGCGGCGCGGAGCTCGCACACTTCCGGGTGCACTGGGCAAACATCATGGCAGCCTGAGGAAACAAAAATTCACATCCAGGACAGAGGATCTCAGCTGAATGCAGCCAGAACAAATTAGTTTTGAGCTTTCTTTTGTGGCCCACTTGCCTCTGTTATGCTTAGGAAGTAGAAACTTCTCCCTGAATCAAGTCTGATGCCAGTCAGAAATTCCTAGAAACACTTTACACGGATCCCAGAAAACACTCCTATCAAACAAGCTTCCACCATCTAAAGCCACACATTGAAACCACCACAGTCCTTCAAAAAATGTTGCTGACTTCCTTACAATTTGACTTGTGCAATTCCACAGAATCCCGCTACTCTCTTACTATTGTGGAGCTCTGGAACAGATATTTTGCTGCTGAACAGTTTTGCCCAGTAGAAGATACAGAACCAGGAAAACCACGGACCAAGAGTGACCTAAAGAAGTACACTGGAGCCTCTTTGCTCTGCTGTGTAATAAATGTTACATCATTCATCTTCTGAGCCTCAAAGTTTTGCTTCTGAAGGGGTCAGCATACTTTCCTCCCCTTCCAGGGGGTGGAATGTTTACTGATTTCTGAATACCCTTTACCCCAAGATACCTGTTGAGTAAAATCCTAATTTTTAAAAATTATTTCAAGTTTCTAGCTTGATGAATTCCTTATATGCCTTTTGCTACATACACATAAAGTTGTTCTAGAGATGTGTGTTTGCACAAATCCAGAGGAATATGAGTTCATTTTCTTTGCTGCACAAAGCACAGTTAGTCTGCAGAAGGCTGGCGTTCACCTTCACAAGGCCAGCACACTTGGCGACAGGAGGCACAGCCTCACGGTGCCACCTCGGGGACAGCTCCAAAAAGCTGCTGCAGCACAGCTTGATTCAGGGAAGGTAATTTACCCTTCATTAATCAGCTCCATATGGAACGTGTAATCCCACAACTAACTCCAGGTACGTATACGCTATTAACCAACATAATTCCATTAGTACTTACGTCACTGGAGTATTCTACCACCATTTGCTTTATCTTATGTCAACACTCTAAAAATGTGCCAAACCTTTATCGATTTTATGGATTGCAAACACCAAGTTCCTCTCTTCTTTATCGGAACAAAACACCAGCCACTTCTAACAAGCTGACCTGCCAAAATCCATCAAAATGCATTCCAGTCCTATCAGCCTATTGCAGGATTTCTTAACCCTTTGAACCCCTGCTAGCAGAAACCTCCTCAAACCACGGTTCTTTCTTCGGAGGCACCGTTGCACATCAGGGTTTTAGCTCTTCATCAGAAATGCTGGTTCGCGTGTGACTTATCTGAGCTGCACAGTGCACGTTCCCCATTGTCAGTGGTTTTGGACTACTACCTGTTTCAATTTTTAACTCGACAATGGAGCACGTATCTGGAATTTAGTCTTAGCCTGCTCAACTGAATTCAGATCATGTGAACAACTCATAACTGCCATTTTTAATAAAAGTGAGGGAAAACACGTCACCCAGTATACCATGTTTACCAGGAACAAAATAAAAACTTGGAATGACCCCTAAACAGAGTCCACCCATCACAAACTGTAAAACACAAAGGACAATTCATATTTAGCCCTTCCCAAGTCTGACAGCGTATGCTCAAAGGGGCACCCTCACACAGGCCTGCAAGCCGTTGTTTTCCAGGCAGTCAGGTCGTCCAAAAGCACCTCCCCGGGGGCTGCGACCCAGCTGCTGGGCCTGGCCCTGGACGAGAGGGTTGAGGTCTCAGAGGTCGTGACTGCGGAGCGTGGCAGCTCCCAGGCCTGACCTCCCCCCCCCGAAATGATGCCCCCCGCACAACCATGCCCGTCCTCCCCGGGAGCAGCCCCAGTGCCCTTCACCCTCAGCATCCCCTGGAGACCAAACGGCTCCGACGCGGGGATCCGCGCTCCGGCCACCCCCGACA